CTGGCACTTGTGTGAATTAAATACTTGCATTCAAAACGCCTGCCTAATTATTTTATTTGGCTCCAAATGAACTTGGAGAAACGTTTCTAAGTCTAGTGAATTTTTCCATCAAGCCACAGAGCAGTGGCCGGCATATAATAAGAACTCATATATTTCTTGAATTAACAAACCGGACTCCCATTTTAGTCCAAGGAAAAAAGTTACAATGAAAGGAGTGATTCTAATATAAACTCTTCTTTTTATCCATAGCAGCTGTAACTCTGTTTATAAAATCCTGTTCATCTGTCAGGCTACTAAACGAAAGTGGAGACTGTGCGAGAACAAGACACTGCCGTCTTCCGCCACACGACGGGGACCGAGCGTGGTGTCGGATGTGCAGTAGATGCTTAATGTTTGTGACAAGACTGTAGTTTACGACCTGTTACACGTTTCCAATTTTAAAACTGGCAAACAGCTTTACCTTTTTTGTGCTTATATGCAAAAACGTGTAAATATGTGTGGCTCGTATGTGTGTAAAGTGTGTGTGTCTTTAACCACTGAGTGTACATGTGGAATTAATTGAAATAGAAAAGCAAAGCCCAGATTTTTTCTTAACATTTAAATAAATTTGTGAATGTGTAATAAATGAGGGGTCAGAAACAAGGTATTCAAAATGTATTCTTTAATCCCACATTGTCTATGGTGAGTCAAGTTCAAAGAATAAAGTTCCTGTCCACTGAAAGGTTTTTCCTTTGTATTTTCTCCACCACTAACTCCTGTTAATTCAAGCTTTACATCGAAGAAGTGTCCAGTAATCAATTTTCAGAATGAAGCCCCATGTGCAAAATGGGGACTCAGAGAAAAAATGTCAACTGAATAATATGAGTGATCATCTTCAAAGGAAAAGAAAAAGAGGGGAAGGGCACAGGAACAGGCTTTTCAAATGTGAACTGGAAGACTGTGAAATCGCCAGTGTCTGGTAAAAGATTCATTGATTAAACAGTTTGTATCTATAAAATAGTATGTAAAGGAGGAAAAGCCACAACATTAGGATATAATAAGAAAGTTATCAATGTGCAGTGTCACTGCCGATTAAAGAGAAAGATTAAAAAACAATTACAACATGCTGTGCATATCAGGAGGTTCCATTCATACCGTCCCGGAGTAATTAGCTCATAGCTGGCTGAGGGCACGTCAACTGTTCGGCTGTCCCATGAAAACACCATTTAAAATTAATAAGAAGGAAAGTGAAAAGGAGACTGAACCCTGCACACAATGCTCTATGGAGTGATTTTCAACCTTTTTCATCTCATGCTACACATAAACTAATTACTAAAATTGCAGCGCACCAAAAAATATATATTCTTTGCCATTCTGACAAAAAATGGATATAATTATGATTCCTTCACACCAGGTGCTTATCGCTGTGTTGGCTGTTGTCATTTTTTATTTGACAATCTAAGGGCAAAGAGGCCGGGCTCCTTACTCAATAGAGAGGTATTGCATGTTTTGAAATTTCTTGCGGCACACCAGCTGAAAATCACTGTTCTAAGAAATACTTAGCACCTTTAAACTAAAGATTACACAAGTTCTAAAACTGATAGAATCCTAAGATGTTAGAATTCTTTACTATTTTTTAAATAAGACTTTTTCCTTTCCAAGAATGATGCTTGTCTATATTATTTAAAGCCCGTATCTAGGTAGGACAACTCCAAAATATTTCTGCATAATCCATTTTATCCTAAAAAGATTTAAAGTCTCTGTATTTGATTTACTTTCATATTTCAGTGTATTTTAGAATAAGAGAATTTATTTTTTGCTTTGAAATAGGTTAGTGCCATAGTATTCAATGTGTTATAGTCCTCAATGTTTTCTTTAGTCTGAATAAATACAAATTGCCAGTGAATATAGATCTTCAAGATATATTTTTCTCCTGGGCCCAAATGATGATATAAATGGTCAATAAATATTACATATAAGTGATATTCAATCATTTTTGCAATATATCAAAATTGATTTATCTATCTCACCACTGAAGAGCCAAATTGCTTGCGGTTAAAAGATATTTTACCTAGGAGCAAACATCTGATTTATAAAATATTCAAAAGATTAAAAGTGATAAAAGATAGTGAGTTCTAAGTGAGAGAAATGTCCAAATATTGCCATGTTTTGTGTGTGTTTATCCATCATATTTTGGGACATAGAGGAGGGAGAAACGTAAAAAATTCAATATCCTTAGACATTCCTAGAACAGGCTTTTTTCCATAATTTGCTAGTGTTCAAAGATAATTTCTCAAAGTTGTATTAGGTTTTGGAAACATTTCTTCATTTAGTTTTTCCTTTTTTTTGAAAACTCTTTACCGAGTTGACTCAGGATACTACAATACCACAATACTAAGATTTTCTTAGTCCAGGCACAAAATGTGAAGGTCATTGTCTTGAATGAAAAGGTAAAAGTCCTTCAAGAATAAGTATACTTATATAATACAATCAAAACAACTTGTCTAGGAAAAGTAAAATACAGTGACCAGATGCTTCTACTGTCTGACAAATGCCCCCTGAAAGTCAAGAATATACATTCAACAAAGTGAATAAAACTTTTATTTAAAAAATTTGCTGGTAGAAAAATATAAATCTCAGACTGTCTTTTGGTAAACTTTGTTTTCCTTTAATCTGCAAATTTCTGGTTTCAGCATCGTAGGCTGAAAAAATTAGTATGAATCAATAAAATTCACAAGGTGTTGTTATTTTTAAAAAGTAACATACACCTATAAGACAACGCATCTAAAATTTATCTTACCACATCTTGGATTTAGTTATGCTGAAAATTTAGATTTGTGTCTTGGGTGGAGGTGTGATTCCAGTATAACTGAGTAATTACACTAAAATTTAGTTAAATGCAGGAAATTCAGGTACATATGGAATTTATGTGTGCAAGTGTGCTAAGCTGTATTATCCTTCAGTTACCAAATAAGGGGTAGGTTGGACTTTCTTTCAAAAAAATTTGCCTAATGCTACAAATGTAACAAAATGAATTGTTTTTAAGTCAATTTTATGTATATATTGGGGAAGAAATGTTTTTTAGAACAATGGCTTATTCACATACAGATATAAATAATCCATAGCTGTGTTTCAACAAATTCACGTTAACAATACTTGGGTTAAATAAATACAGTGTGCTAAGTTTACAATAAAGTGCTTTTTTATATTTGATTTGTCTTTTAATAAACACACAAATTTACTGGATTCTAGACCTTAGTTCATTCCTCCATTCTTATTCATTTCTCCTAAGTACGGGTCCAGCAAATAAAATACTCTTATGATTCCAATTCCCTAAATATAAGTAACGCTTCTGGGTTTATTGGAAAGGAAGAAACAACTCACACTTCAGTCAGAAGTAAAGAAATTATATTCCACACCAGCTCTACAACTGTATCATAGTCTACCTACCCTTATGGGGTAGAAAAAAACACAGTATCACAAGGCAGTTTTCTTAGTAGTTACAATTCATTCAACATAATTATCTTATTTGATCAAAATCTGAGCAAAGTTTTTATGACAAGACTGGTGGAATTAGTTTATCTTCCAGAAATCTGGGACAAAGGGAGAGAATTCTCCCCAGGTGGCTTTAGAGAGAAGAGATCAGTGGGCACTAGATAACAGCTTTCTGGCTAGAAAATGCTACTTGCCCTCAACACAACACAAACAGCTTCCCAGAGATTTTCTAAAAATGTACTGCTGTTATTTTAACATTAAAAGTAACAATGGATTTCTACATATATTCTTAAGAAAACCTTGAACACTCTTAAATGACAAGGACCAGAAGAAAGGGAATTTTCAGATACAAAGAGAAAGGATGTTCAAAGGAAGTAACAATGTTTCATGAAAGTAATTTTAACTACTGTAATTTATAAAGAAATAAATCTTTTCAGAATACAACATGTAGCTTATTGAAAATGCCTAATTCTGTATATTTATAACTTGAGTAGGTGCTGAAAATCAAAAGTAAATGAATAGAACAGTAAAAAAAAGTCAATATGAATATTGATTTCCTGACTTTTTGGGGGGACTTTACAGTACATTTCACATATTTGTCCAGGTTTAAATATTTACATAAGGACTTTCATCAAGTTTTCTGTAATAGTCTAACACCAGAACATTTTCAGATTGATAGCTTTCATTACTGCATATTCCTTCTAACGATGGCCTAGTTAAAAGTGAAAATATGCTTGTTGTAGAAATAGAGAAAAATCATGCCTCTGTTTGTTTGTTTATTTATTTATTTAGGAAAGTTGATAATTCTCAGCTCAATGTCAGAAAACACCTTCTACGAAAGTTCTTATTGGGCCTCTACCTATTTTATTTTTCTTCCAAATGAAAAACATATACATTAGTGTATCTACTGACAAAACATTTAATAAAATTTATTTGAAGTCACATATACTATGTTTGATGTATTCAGCTTGAAAGCATTCAGAAGCTGAAAATAAAAGCAGTCACTAAAAGGGCTGGTTATTTCTCAAAAACTTGTTTGTCAAAGTGTCTGCTTTGCATCCATCACCCTCTTAGGCCAGAGTCCTGGCTCACAAGAATTATCAGTCCCATTCCTCTCAACCTATCAGGCACAGACATAGTCCTTCCCAAGTGCTAAAACTGAAGCAGGCAGCCACCGATGCCTTAGAGAGGAAACAAATGTCAGATAAAAAAACTAGATCAGACCATATAGATAATCAGGTCATTAATATAATCACATAAAGACATGGTTATATCAATGATAGAATAAATAAATTAATGCTATTCTTGTAAAGAAAGCATACCTGACAAAGGGAAATTGTGTGCTTAAAGGTCAACACTACCAGGGCCAAGGTAAGGCTAATGAAATGCATCGTGCACAGAGGTGATCTCCTGACCTCTGTATTGCCGGCCTGATTTGCTTTGGGATGTGCTTCACAGCCAAATGGTCAGATCAAGGTAGGACAGAGACCAGCTCCAAAGCTGGGGATCGCAGCTGCCTCACTTACCTTCCACTGAGGAGGAAGCCGAAAACCACCGCCAGCAAAATGACTCCCACTGTCACCGACACCGCAATGATAGGGATCTGGTTTTGATCGCTGGATGCTGCAACTGCTGATAGAAGGCACAGAAAATGGAGCTGGTGGTTATTGTAATCGATGCATCCAAATAAGAGCCGCTTAATAGTCAGGAATCAATGCACGGTTTAAGCAATTCACCCACACTTGGCTGAGGATTCCCTCTAATATCCCTTCTTAAAAGTGTGTAATTGAAAAGACATCTTTAGGGGAAAATATTTATTTTCCAAATGGAAATTCGAAAGAATCACTAAGTCACTGATTATTTCCTTGTCATCATAGAAAAATGACTGTAATTGTTTGCACAGTAGTCATCTAGGGGTCTTCGGTTTGCATGATAAAATGGAACTCAGCCCTTGATTTCAAACACCTTCATCCACATAGGTGCTAAGTCAATGAGATTTGACATGTTTAGAAATTGCATGTGGCTGTTCTCCAGGAAATAAAAAAAAGTCTCATTACCTCAGACAGGACTCTTCAAACAGACATGGGTTGAAGTAAAAGTGATGTAACTATGACCTCAGTGAAGTTAAATATAATATCACTGTTCTGAATATAATTTTAGATATCATAATTTGAAGCAGAGTATGATCAGGAAGTATGTTTTATAAGTGGGACCGCTTTTTCAAAATATATCAAGGCATACAGTTAGTACTTTAAGTCTGCAGTAAGATTAGATTCATTTACATTACTTTTTCTTTAAAATACATGGATTTAGATGAAATATTTTATATTTTTATTTTTTTAAATTATTTGTTGTTGTTACTAACCCTCATCTGAGGATATTTTTTCCATTGCTTTTCAGAGAAAGTGGAAGGAAGGGGAGGGGGGAGGAACACCAATGTGAGAGAGAAACGTCCCGGGGTTGCCTCACGGAGGCGCCCTGACCAGGGGTGGTGAGTGAACCACAACCCAGGGACATGCCTTTGACCAGAAATCAAACCCATGGCCTTGGGTGTGCAGGCTTCCGCTCTAACAACTGAGACACACCCACCAGGCGGAGATATTTTCTATTTTAACAATACAATTACAATAAAAAAGGAATATGGACAGGGTTAGATAGTTATGCCTAAATAATTAAGAAAATGTTTCTTTGTGCTGATAACTAAGCCCAATTAAAATAAGAAACTTATAGAGTAAAATAAATTTTACTGATATTCTCAGGAAACTCTCAACAGAATACCTAGTATGCTTACAGTTTAACGACAATCCTTTTGATGAATTCAGAGTGACGCATGAGTGCACCTCCAAAATAACAAATCCTAAGTCATCCAAACAAATAATAACCCCACTTCCCATGTTTTGTTGTTTACAACCCCTTCTCAGATCTTGGCCAAGATCTTGACCCCAGATAAGAGATGGACATCCAAACACTTCCCTTTCTATTCTTGCCACCTGTCCTTTGATTCTTTCTAACCAAAACTGACCGACTCTGTGACCATCTCCTTGCACTGATACACACTTTCAGTCCTTTCAGACCAGCCTTCAGAGCCCAATATCGTCAACAGCTGGTTCATATACAAGAAAAGCTATTATTTACAATCTAAACTGATGATTTATTCAATTTCTTCTTGGATGATAATAGTTGCAATTTAATGGGCCTTCATTCTGTTTTCTTCTATTCCTTCATACCAAGGCCTGTGGTAGGGATGGTAATACTCGTGAGCAGTGTAAGGTAGGGAAAAGATACCTCGCTATCACTAGTAGCCTCTCCTAAGATTTGCTTTATTAATCTCTAAACTCAGATTACTTATGCCATTGCTTTTTCTCAATTTTAATTTTCTTTTTGGCAGGAGCGCTGTTTCTAGAGAAAATCATGCAGACTTGGCCCATGTAAGTTATTTGGATTGGGCTCCAGTTGCTGCTCCAGCGCTTTTGAATTTTATTAATTTTCTAACAAAATCATCCCCATAATGAGTATTCCTTATTTTCTCAGTACACAAATCCATTCCCACCTCCTACATTTTAGTCATGTTAAACTTTATAGATAAAAGAGAGTGGCCAAGTCCACACTCCATTGTTAAGTATAACTGCACAGCCTTCTGCTTTACCTAACGCCACTGTTAGAACCCTTCATGTCTCTCCCAAGAGGTTGCTCCTTCAAAGATCTCCCTCAAGAAGGGGTTTTCATTTCTCTTCATTCTCATTTCCCTTTTGGCTACTTCTCTGCTACTTGCAAATCTGAACACCTATCTCCTCTTGGGGGAAACAAATCCTTGTACCTAAACTTACAGACATTAGTTCAACTTGAATTTAAAAAGAGGTTCAATATTTACTAGACATATGGGCCAAGATAAATGATTTAACCTTATAAAGTCTCATTAAGAATAACTTCCCTGAGTGATTATAGTTCTGTTAAGATTAGAGATAACAGAGATAAGCACTTAGCATAGTGCTTCAACTATGGCCAGGGTTATGTAAACTGTAAACGTTATTTCTATATATTGTTATTGCCTGCTTTATTCACCATCTTATTCTTTCCTAATTTTCAGTATCTTAACTGAATGATCTAGAACTAGCCTCTTTATCTAAGAGCCAAGTTTATTAACATTGCTCTGAAACTTCTCTTCGGCCTTTGAGTTCTAGGCATGGTGTAACATTTGCTAAGTGCAATGAGTATTCTCCATTTACCTCACCATGCGCATACTAAGGGATTTACCTTGCTGACCACAGAGCTCACCCTTGGAGCTCTCCTCTCGGTTTCTACCCCACTCGATGAGCCACAGCCTGTGCCCCCTCGAAGCGCTGCTTCGTCAGGCCCGCTGGCCCCACATCCCCCCACCCCTATGTGCGAGTATCCCCAAGAACGCTGGCTCCCGATCACCCGCACTCCTCTCCTCTTTCCTTCTCTGCCTTTCTCTCTTCCTCCCTCCTTTCACCCCTCCCTCTCATAAATACTTCTTTGTTCAGTGAACTATAAGTTCAAGAGTGCCAAATTTATGTCTCCAACTCTTAATCTCTTCAAAGCACCACTTTATTTTAAAACAGACTGTTTTCTCTTTATTTGGATTTTATTTTCACATAAAAATAAACATTTTTAAAATTGGCCCGTATACCAAATTCAACTCTAAAAGTCTTAAAAACAAACAAAAAATGCATCAATAAATAAACATTCCATAAATCAGACCAACAAACCAGACTAATTCAATCTCTTTCAGTTCCTTTTAACTATCGATACATTTCCTTAGCCCCTACTTGCCCATTAAGTACCAAATATTTTTGTGTTTATGTTTTTATCTCACGCTTTCCTTTTTTTTTTTTTTAATACAATACTCACCTATTTGGTTCAAATTTGCTAGAAAATAGTTACAGGTGTTTTGAGGATTAAGGTCTAAAGTTTAAAGTTTATAAATCAAACTGATGGGATATTGTTCAGTGTTTTAAGTCTTTTATTTGTCTTCAATGTACTTACATAAAATATCCAAAAATATTGCTTTTATCTTATTTCTCTGATCAAGAAATTAATAGACACCTACTACCTATGGAAAAAAAATTCCCAAATTCTCCACCTAACATTCTAAAGCTCTTCTATTCTTACTCTGACAAATATTTCTGGTTTCAATATACCAGCTTGGGAATACTTGGAAATATAGCTTTGAAAGCAGAGGGCATGATTAATCAGATGCAGAGATAAAAACAAGGCAATTTCAGGCTAACCAAACGATCATTTTTGAGACAAAAATTATGGGTGCTTAGTAGTGTCAAATGCTTCATTTTTAATAACTGGTGAGATCAAATTTAACAATGTGCTAAAATGTATGCCTAGGTATAGGATATTATCTTGCATTAAAATAATGGTCAATGTCATACCAACATTTTTCAAATGCTTAAATTAATACATTTTATATTTTTAAGTAATGTCAAATCACAAATATTCATATTTGTATGTCTTTATCGACTGTCCACTGAAATAATTTTTTTTTTTAATCCTTGCCCAAGGATCTTCCTTCCATTGCTTTCCAGAGAACAGAGGGGAGAGAGAGAGAAAAGAACATCGAGGTTAGAGAGGCCACGTGAGCCCCAGCCGGAGCCAGGGATCAAGCCTGCAATCGAGGTGCATGCCCTTGGCTGGAGCTGAACCCAGGACCCTTCAGTCCACCTGCCGAAGCCCTAATCACTGACCAAGACCAGCTAGGGTGAAATAAAATCTTTTTGTATGATAGGTTTTATTATACAAAATCTGGTTAAGGGGCCCCAGCCTGGAATCAAACCAGCAGCCTCTAGGTGCATGGGACTGTGCTCGGCCAGCTGAGCCACACCGGCCAGGCTGTCATGCACTTAGGTCCTCTGGCTCACACTTTCACCCTCCGTCCCTCTTCCTACCTCCCCTCCGACAGCTGTCAGTCTGTTCCATTTATCTACACCTCTGTTCCTGTTTTGTGTGTCAGTTTATTTTGTTCATTAGATTCCACATATAAGTGAGGTCATGTGCTTTTTGTCTTTCTCTGACAGGCTTATTTCACTGAGCATAATCATCTCACGGTCCATCCATGCTGTCAAAAAAGGTAAGATTTCCTTCTTTTTATGGCCAAGTAGTATTCCATTGTGTAAATATACCACAGCTTTTTTATCCACTCATCTAATGATGGACACTTTACTATAAAAAATGAAAATACATTTAACATACCATAATTCTTGCATTCTATTTTTTTCGGACTCTGTTAGAGAAATAATATATGCCTGTGAAGTACTAAATTATGATACTAAGTAAATAATTGCCCAATAAAATAATTAAAGTTATTGCACAAAATACTACACAAACAATTGTCAAATGAATGGCATAGAACACAAATGCTACAGAAATTCTGAAAAGGGTTATTTTAATTATCAACATGCATCTACTTTAACTCCCTATTTGACGATATGCCTTGAGAAAGGAGTGATTGTTTGCTCCTTAAAGTTGAGTCACTTGCAGTACCTACAATAAAAGTCCTTTAATGTGTAGAAAGTAAATAAAATAAATAATAAAAATAATATCCTAAAATGGTTTTGTAACAAATATTCCATCCTTCAGAATTAAACAGACTGCATTCTTAGTCTCTGGGGAGTAGTTTCCATGTGTTTGTTACTCATGGCTACTTCTCCAGAGCCTAACAAAGACGAGTATATAATAGGTGCTCAATACATCCTTGTTGAATTATATCCAGAAAAGAGTCTACATAAAGGCCAAAGGGGGCTGGTATGTAACAGGTACATTGTACAAAGAAAAAGTCATTTGTAAAGGCTTGCAAATATGTGTAAATATACTCAAAAATAACATTCCACACGAGTAAGTAGGAGGCAGAACAGCTCTGAAGTATTTTTAGTATCTATTAATAACATTAAAGTCAATTTTTGTAGTAATAAATTCTTGGGTGATATCATTTTCCCTCTAGAAATTATGTAGAAAATTATAAAAAGTAGACAGCCTCACTTGAGCCTTTGTAAAAGTGTATGGAAAATGACCTCATATTAGTTCTCTCAGTTATCAGATTCATGAATTTTGTCATATCCAGAATTTAGTATTTAATTTAAAAAAGTAAAGAAAGATATATTAAAAAGTCTTAAAAAACAAATTGCTGGACATGCCAGCATCCTAAAACTAAGCAGAATGTTGTAATATTTAATAACAGGGTCTTTTATTTGCATTGTTATAGATGCACTCAAGAATACTGAGAGACTGGTCAGGGACTTTGTTCCCAGAGTGGGTAAACTACCTAAGCAGTGTGCACTACTGACGACACCAAAGCAGAAACAAGGCCTATTACAGTGGCCACCTTACATATAAGCCTTTTGTCATAAATCCAGTTTAGGGTTTAAGGTGTGAGATTAAATAATCAATACATTGCCAATATTATAAGGGTTTTGTGACTAATTTATTCTTAATTTAAGGAACTTTACTGAATGAGATTAAATGCTTAGTAGTTTCAATTAAACCTCAGACACAGAATTTTTTTTGCCTAGAAAATATAATTTATCAATTTTCATAAAGCACCCTAGTCTGTATAAAATTAAGTAACACTTTAAAAGCTACCTTTTACATAATAAAAATTATTTTCTAGATAATTCAGTTAAACATGCTTAAAGCGAGTATATAAATTTTTCTAAAGATTTGTATCCTAAAGTTTTATTGAAATTTTAATTTAATGCTTTTTCTAATCAGTACAAAGTAAATCTCAGAAGTAAGCTCTCACTTTGCTGGTTTTCAAAAGGAGGGAATATGAATTTTATTTTCTTTATTTTAAAATCACTAATTCTTACAAATTGGCTTTTTAAAGTGTGTATAATTATATGTACATGTAAACAAGGAAGTTATCCTCTTCTAATGTGCTTTTAATGTGTGCTTTAGGACAAGTAAGTAATCTAAATATTTTGTTTGACCTTAAAGAGGAAAAAGTTTTGTGCTATTTTATAATAAAGAAAATAAAAT